TATTTATTTATTTATTTATTTTTAATCCTCACCCAAGGAAGGATATTTTTCCATTGATTTTTAGAGAGAGTGGAAGGGGGGCAGAAGAGAGAGATGAGAGAGAGAGAGAGAGATGAGAGAGACACACCGATTGGTTGCCCCAACTAAGGTATGTGCCCTTGACAGGAATCAAACCCTTCAGTCCCTGGGCCCACGCTCTAACCACTGAGCAGCTAGCTAGGGCTAAAGTGCCATACCTTGATTATAAAACATTCTTACATAAAATTGTAAACAAAATCATTATCTATTCTTCTCTTTCATATTACCATGGAAAGTAGCTGGAAAATAAATCATTATTTAGAAAGCAGCCATAGAAAGTATAGCTAGTTGTTTTTCGGTTGTGTAACGCTCTATTCCAGTGATGGCGAACCTTTTGAGCTCAGCGTGTCAGCATTTTGAAAAACCCTAACTTAACTCTGGTGCCGTGTCACATATAGAAATTTTTTGATATTTGCAACCATAGTAAAACAAAGACTTATGTTTTTGATATTTATTTTATATATTTAAATGACATTTAACAAAGAAAAATTAACCAAAAAAATGAGTTCGTGTGTCATAGGTTCACCATCACTGCTCTAGTCATTGACTAAGAAATTGCTCCGGCTTCCATTTGAGGTACACGGGCTGTATGGTATGACAAAAGGTGACTGTGGTGGGTTTTTTTGGTTTTTTTTTTAAAAATATATTTTATTGATTTTTTACAGAGAGGAAGGGAGAGAGGTAGAGTTAGAAACATTGATGAGAGAGAAACATTGATCAGCTGCCTTCTGCACATCTTCCAGTCCGCAGGCCAACGCTCCATCCACTGAGCCAAACCGGTTTCGGCTGTGGTGGTTTTTAATCCTGTCTTTTCTTCAAGGTTGGGATGGTTAAGTTCAGAAATCAAAGCTTTTCATTGAGCCCCTACAAAGCCAATTTAGCTCCATACTGAGGAGTCACCCAACCCCATCCTACAAAGGCCACTGATAGCAACAGAGAATGACATCGTCCCCTACTAAGCAGGATTCCGTTCGGAGTGGGGACTATTTCCTCCACATTTAAGTTCTCAAGGGACAAGGGCAAAGCATCAGTGACGCTCCTTCCTCTCCTCCCCTTTAAAGATTAAGCGGCTTTCACTGCTCTCCCCATAGCCGTGCCGGGAAATCGCGGAAGGAGAACAAGCCTAGGAAAACTACAATTCCCATCATGCCTCATGAAGGCACCGCCTACAACTGTAGCAGTTTAGTCATCCTTTCCGCGTGCTCCTTCCACTTCCGGGACTGCCGGGCCTCAGGTCCAGCGGGCGCGCGCACGCGCCAGCTAGCCAACCAGAGGGGGTAATGGGACTCCATGCCAACAGGGACGTGTGGCATCACGTGACGCCACGC